TAGTAGTTTATATATATATTCCCATTTCGGTGTTATCCAAATTGAAGTCACCAAGTCTAGAAAGGCTGAGGGTGCTCAGGTCTATCATAGCAGCACCCCGCCTGTCTCTGTATTCTGCACAGTTGCTAACTGACAGCTACATACATTTGCAGCATCATTTCCCCATATGTAGGATTCTCGCTATACCTGGCTATGTTCAAGGGATGGGATGGGGAAAGAGAAAGCGAGAGAAAGTCAATGTCCAGAACGCTAATAACAATGCAGATTGACCAAATGCACCGAGGTTGCATTCAGTCACTGCACTGTCGTGTCACTTGTGTTGACACCAACCCGGGACCTTGAAAATGGGAACCAGCCAGTTACCAAGCATGGGGTGGGAGCGTGGAGCTGGAAGCGATCGACGATGAAGATTGATGTGAATAATCAAGGATACAAGTAGGGAGGAAAGAAGCAATGAAAATGCAGGTGGACTTTATAGTTACATTCAACGACCGTCCTAGAAATGGGATAGTTTGCTGCAATAAAAAAAAGTCAGGGGTTAAAACATTCCTGGTTGTGTGCGTGCGGAGGGGGTGGGGTGGGGGTTGGGGGAATGCCAGGGGTGATGACATCACGGGGGTGACGTCACGCGGCGGCGGCGGGGTGACGTCACCCCTGGGGGAAGAGGGGGTTCCCAGAAGGACGTCAGTGTATTTCCCAGGGCTGTGACCTCGACAACTAGCTCAGGAGAAGAGCTGCCCCCTACAGCCCGGTGGCCTCTGAGTCTCTCTCCACCATAGATCAATGGGGGAAGCATTGCTATCGTCAATCTAATCAACATGAAAGAAGCAGAGGTCACAGATGAGCTTTTTTTTAACCCAAAAAGAAATAGTGAGCCCCAATTAGAATAAACCCTTGCTCTGTGTGTGCGTATACGTGTACTCCTTTCTTTTAAATATGCGGTTTCTCTCTTAAAAGGGCTGAGTCTTATGAGGATTTGGGGAGGGGGGGGGGGGGGGGGAATCCTGTGGAAATTGCTGTGTTGACCAGGTTCAATTGAACAGTCGAGCCTTGAGCACAGTTCCAAATACTGTGGACCCAACAATAGCCGAGTTTAGGAAGTTCGCAGAATTTGTAGCTTCTTTTTCCGATCACTATTATTACCTTCACCCCCACCAACCAAAAAAAAAATTCTCCGCCCACCCACCTCCCGTTTTAAAAAAAATCCCAACAGCAGCAAAAAAAATAGTGGCGGAAGTGCCGGGTTTGAGACAAAGGGAGCGGGACTGCTTGCTCAAAGTGGGATACTGGAACCGGGAAAAAGCGGAGAGGATCTGGAAAAGAGATTACATTTCGCTTCTCTCTCATCAATTTTATGGTTAATGTCAAGCGGCTCCATTGTGGGAGAAGAGGCACGTCAGCCAGCCATAAATTTGAGAGCGGAGTGGCAGCGCAGAACGCATCTGTTTGACCGAGTTCATTCCCTCTTATACTGTATGGAGACAGGTAGAATCCTGTTCGCGCACCAATCCCTAGCAACGCAGAGGCAACCCGGGACAAAATACAAACCGTGCAGATATTTACAACCGGGCTTTCTCTAGGAAACAGCCTCGATCTGCCGCCTGCATCGATCGCCTTGGTATGTCATTCCTTTTTTAAAAAAATGTCTTGTTTATTTCCCCCCGTCAGCGGTTTATAAACATACACAATATAAGCGGGAGAGAGGGAACTATAACAGCAATGAAAGGGACCCCTATATATGTGAACACTGTTTAATGAAAAGGATGTTCTTATAACCATTGACCACACTGTCTTCTGGATAATAAACAAGATGGGCTTTGGCTCGCCTTTTGCACTGCAAAGGAATGTGGGGGTCAGCGATTCATTTTATGATTTGAAAATAACTTTTTTTTTGCTTTCCAATTCAAAGCTGTGCTAAAGTATAAAACGGGCAGGAGATGCAAACTCAGGTGAAAGGGGGCAAGGTATATATTTAATTTCCTGGAAACCTGGACAAAACAAAAGGCGTGCAATTTTAACTGGGTTTTGAAGTGAACGCTTTATTTCATGCAGAAGTTGGTTTGCTTTCTCTCTCGCTTTGGGAGATGCGTGTGGGTAGAATGGCGGAGAGCCGCGGATTTTATTTTCGCTTCATGAGCTCCCTGAGATTCATCTTCAGATTCCAAAAGTGATGATTTGGTTTGTGCTGGGGAGAAAAAAAAGAGGACGTGTCAACTATTCGTGGAGGGAAAATCTGAAGCAAATGTGCGATTTTTCATTTATGGGTGCTTTGCTGCAATGTTAATTTGCCAGGATTGCTCCGCCGGCGACACACATATGTATATATATTTCTGCTGTTGCATGATTTTTCATACGGGAGGGGGATGTGTTGATGCATCGGGAATCAAGGCGAAATTTAGCCCGTAATAAATTGGTGCAGCACACAACGTCCGGTGATTAATATCATATTTATATATATAAATCCGAAGCCGGCGAAAACGTAGTTAATACAATTCACATAATTGTGCCACATTTATAAGACAAGCAGCATGTTTTAACTCAGGTTCTGCCCAAAGTTGTCACTTGGTACCGTTTCATTCTGCAAGGACATTCTTTTCCATGTTTAATAAATCCTTCTATTTTAGTTGTTAAAAAAAATCTGACAGAGCTTCAGTTTCAGGATTACTAATACGTTGCCAATTAGATCTTGTTTTGCAGGTTTAGAGCAAATAGATTAAACTCTTTTCAGCTGCAGTACATTTAGGACCTCAAACGTCTTTTGTTTTTTAATCAAATTATAGCAGAAATTTGAGTATTTTCTTTGGCGATGAACAGATAGTCACTCGGTTGGCATGGAGTAAGTTAAATCATGCAGAACGCTGTAATCCCTTCTCTATCTGCTGAATCCCTTTTTTTAAGGTTAACATTGATGGAATAAAACCCAATCTTGATTGTAGGCGCATTGCTGGGGAAAGGGGTCGGGGTGTAACAGCAGAACATCTTTACGCTTTTCAATTATTTATTTTACTGCGTATTGTGTCTTTAAACCACAAAAGAGGAGGAAGAAAAGCAATCTGAAAGGGGAACCCCGCGGTTGGGGACTGTTTGTGATGGGGGTTGCTTATAATCTGATTGTATTCTGCTGACTAAAGGCTAGGCTGCTAATTATCTCCTTAAAATGCAGTAGGGTGGGGGGGGGGGGGGGTGAAAACAAAACAAGAGAAGCTTTGCTGGGCAAGGTCGAACATTTTAGCGCCTACTTGGGTGAAATTATTTTAAAAAGGCATGAGTTTGAAAGGGGTCTCGGTGCATTGCAGATATAACCAATGGAACCGGTTTAGCATGAGGTGTAGCGTTTGAGGGTAATGTGTGCGATAAGTTTCACCTTAGTATCGTTTCAGTTTGAACAAAAGAAGATCATTGCAACACGTGTGGGGGTTTCCCAGAACACTTGCAGCTCGGTCCCGGGGTTTTAACATTAGTATGTGAGGTATATGTTTGTTTGAAATGAAGAGAGCAGAGTCTGGCAGAGCGTGTTGTGTGTGTCTGTTTTCAGTTTTATTCTAGGATCTCCGCTCTTTCCATATGACGTTGGGTGAATTCTCCTGTAACCGGCTCGGAGCAAACTGGTAGCGGACAGAGAAGTCCGCAGTGACCGGCCTGAAGCACACACACTCTCGAAGCTTCCCCAGCGCCGCTCTCTGAGATCAAACATCACGAGGATCTGCTTATTATTGTAAATCCGCGTGTTCGTCGACAGCAAACAGGGACTGCTGCATTTGCGCCATTTTGCATTCACAACTCCACTCTCTCGCCTCTTTCAAATAGGTGGCAATGAAAGAAGCTCCGGCCTTCGGCACCAATCCCGGGAATTGTGGAAAGAAAATAGCCTGTAATGGCGCAAGTACAACACAAACTGAGACACTGAGCTCGGAGGTTGTGTAATGTTTCATTATGTGCAAAGCGAGTGTTGCAGAGAGCACGCAGCGAGAGAGAAATGGAAATCAACGTGGATGCGCTGATTTTATCTTCACTCTATAGCAGGCTCAATAGCATTACTTAGCAGACAAATGAGCTTACATTCGGTCAAATATTAGCTCCGAAGATGCATGGGCTCTTATTCCTGCTCTCTTCCCCCCAAAAAATTAACTCCCCGGAGCTCTGTGTCACATTATGATTCTTTTTCAAATTGCCCCTTTCAATGCTGAAAGCGGACTGAGTATCGCTAGAGATAGTATCGCTAGCCTCAGTTTAGTAGCTGTATTCTCTCGGAATTTTTTTTTGCCAGATGTAGTTTTTCCTTTTGTCTTTTTGCCCCGTCCCCGTCGATCACACCCCCACCCCACCCCACCTCCAGCCCGTTTCTCATTGAAGACTATTGTATCAAATAAAAGCATTTTACTTTGATAAATTGCAAAGTCCTAGCCACAGCCTGTACGTCTTCCGATTGATAAGCTCTGAAACCGAAAGTATTCTCTCGGAGGCAGCTCCGCGTCTGGCAGTTTCACATCGCCGTCGCCTTCTGCAGATTTACACCCAGCTGCCACCGAGATTCCGTGGGGAGGCTGGGCAGACTCGGAAAATGAGCTGAAATTCCCATCCAGATATTTTACAATTTCCTGGGAAATTTCATTCTTCGAGCCGGGAGGGGTTACTTGGAGTAGGAGTTTGTAATTCAAAATCCACTTAAGTAGACCTTTGATGAAGATTTCAACAGCGTTAATTTTCACAATCCCTTACGGGATGGGGATCGAGTAACTTGGGCTCTTTATATTTACAAACACACGCACAGACACTCACGGTGACTTCCAACGAGCACGAGGCGCCCCTCAATCTTCCAGGGAAAGCGCAGACGAAGGGACCCTATCCCCAAGTAGATAGCTCGGGCTGCCGTTTGAACCGTTCTTCCAATCTTAGAAATCAAGCGTCCACCATTCCCTTCTCGAAACGCCCCAGCAGCCTCGGGCAGGCAGAGTCAAAGCGTGGACAACCCCACACAATATTAAAACAGCCCATCTGCATACAGTGTACAACATTTATTTACATCGGTAATTAAATTCATTACAATACATAAATTCATCACAGATAGCGATTGCTAATAACCACCCTTACAGCTTGAACATCGATTGTGTTTTCATCATGTTGCTGAATAGTAAATTGATAATTAACAGCTATGAGGAGCCACAACATGCATGTAGCTGGAGCGCCAAGCCCTTGCATAAGTTGGAGTTTGAACACCCAACTTCACTTTCCCAGTTTTAAAAGTATGGATGTGACAGACTCACTCCGTTATGGAAAACCGAAAGCAAAGAACGGGACTTGTTTTAACATCCACTTCAACATCAAAAACTGACAGGCCGTCAGAAACAAAAAAAACTCCTAAAATTGTTGCTCAGTTGTAAAACGATATTTGATTTGGATTCTTTAAGAAAAAATAAACAGAGCGTGCATCTCTCGCTAGATTTTATTTCCTCTATACATTGGTTAAGGGCGAATCTTCCTATACATTGTCGAAGGATTTATCGAGAAAACGCCATATCCATTCAAAAAGAAAAGTCGCAAAATATTCACAACACAAAAAAATGATGGACATGCATTCGAATTTCCTGGGCCGCCCACTTCCCATTTAATGAAAGATGAGAATTTATACATGAAGAGCTTGTACGTGTTTAAGTGAACAACAATTGTAAATGAGAATGTAGTGTAAACGCGTGACAAAAGCTAGTTGTTAGGAACTTGGCCATTTTTGAGTTGCTTTACACTCCTGGTGTTAAAGCAGTGCTGATATTTTGTTTAAGGGTACGCTTTAATTGACTCACTGAAGGCAGCGCGATTTATCACATAGCACACCCTATGCGCCTGGGAGTAAGCATGTTCAATAATGAAACTTGATGTTAAAGGTGTGAGTTCTGACTGTGAATATCAGATCTGTTTAATTTTCCATAGGATATTCCAAATGTGTGGCGAGGGAATCGGGATTCGAAACCAGATCTCTTTAAAAACCCTCTGCCCCATCAGCACAGACACTGAGCTGGATATTGTCACCCGAGCATCTTTTTGTTTTGCAATATATAAATAAACCAGAACGCGGGGAAGGGTATCTCCCCTTCTCCAGTTGATCTGAAAGCTTTCCACGTCGAGCTCGTCGTGAACTCTCTTTAGTTCGTAGTGTCTGTGCTGCATTCGATAGAACTAAAAAAAAATCAACCAGCAAAAATTCCCGTGCCAGGAGGAATACACTGGTAAAGGCATCACGCAATGCTCAAGGTACTGGGAACTTTACATAAAATAATGCACAAATGCACGTGCGCTGTTTTTCAATATGGAAACTTGTTTTCTGGTGAAAACTGGGCAGAAGATGAAGGGATTGCAGCAGAAAGGTTAACTGGACACAGAGTTCAAGTGGAATTTATTTAGTATGGTATAGTGTGGTCACACTGGTTCCCTAACTCTCGTAGCAATCTATTTTTAAAGAAACGATGAGAATTTAGCTGGTCAGATGTTCGGTGATAAAAGGCCCTCGGTTTTAGTAAATTGTGGCGTGCTTACAGATTCATTTATAAAATAAATAAAAGGAAAGATTTAGCACAAATTGGCTTCACAGACGCCACAAAAGAGGCTTCACGGCCGTGAAAGGAGATTTGCTATCTTTATTTTCAATCATTTTGGCAAGTTTCCTTCATGCGATTATATGTGAGTAACTTTATGATACCGTTTGAGAGCGCCATCGCACAATAAAGGGCCCATTATGCAAAATGTATTTTTTTTTACTGTTGATAAAAAGCTTTTCGAGCAGAAGGAAGGAAATGTCTGACCTTATGAGGTATTTCGGTTTTTATACGTTTCTTTGATTTGCCGTTATAGTCACTTAGAATGTCCATACTAAGTACGAGCAGCATCTGGAACACTTTCACCTAACTGATGTTAAAAGTAGTCGTTATGGCTATCAGTAGGTTCCAACTTATTAAAGCTAAAAGCAGATCTCTCTTCCTCACTCCGCTTCACCCCCACCCCCGCAATAAAAATGCCGCATTTTCGAAGCGTGATCTGTCCAGATCTCAGCAAATTCCTCTAAAACGCAAAAACATTATGCGGACTGAAACATTCACGGACTGCAGACTGTTTTTCGGTCTTTTCGAGCCCCGTTTACTTTTACGTTTTTCTTCAATAAAATGCATCGTAATGAAGCAGCCGTGCCAATAGCTTCTTGCATTTACGAGGGTGACCTCAACAGCTTATAATGCAACACAGATGCAATGTCCTATTAGAGAGATTTCTCACATTTGCTCAAAGCTCGGTGGATTAAAGTAACAGTCTCTCTCTTTCCGAGACTCATTTGCAACCTATCCCGAAATCACACAGCAAAGGAACAGCCCGGTGCCTTGCTCATTTGAATTTCAGTCACTTCAGAAAAAAAAGGGCGCTATTTCCTCTCTGAAACACATTGCCATTTTATTGCATGAAGCTGCTTTCTGACGGTCACGCTTCCGAATCAAGATCCAAAGTCCACTGGTTGGTTGGTTCCGAATTTGTGAAGCCGGCCTAAAATTGACAATTCATAGCAGGGGTGGGGGGAGCGGGACGTGATGCTGGACTGTAGGTGTTAACACGTTTAATGTCTATTTAGCTCTGTAGCTCAGACCCATGTTGTCAATCCGCACACAAGCTCACAAAACGACAGCCTACGCAAAACCACAATATTGGGAAACTTTAAATAGACACATTATATACAATATTGCAACAATCATTTCCATTCCCACATTTATCTGATTACTTTTTTAACACCTATCATTTCTTCCCGAGCTGCCTTTTTTTATATAACATCATTTTTGTAAAAAGAAACGTCTTGTTTCTCTTTCTTCCCCTTTTTATCCTCCCAGCGTTTTGCCTTGCATTGCAAACATGCATTGCGTAGCCTCCGGCCGCTGGTGACAAATCCTCGTTCCGGTAGTTGGATCTGGGTGTAAGATCGAAGGAAACTGTCAGTCAGTGATGCTTCATTGATCACGCACAATCCTCTTTGCAGGACTTGCCTTCTTCAACAGCCATCAGTCATTTTGCATTAATTATCCTATCCACTGGTCCTCCAGGCTTCAACAGGCCTCCTCTGTTGGTGTAAAACGAGAGAGACAGAAGGCAAAAAGGAGAGAATTACAAGTTAGAGAAAAGGGGAGTAAGAAATCCAAAGATGCACAAGTTTACACAAACGTGTATAAATATATGAGACTGGCCTAGTTTTGCAGCCATGGCGACACAGAATTGGAATTAGAAAAATTATTTTTTAAACCCACCTCCAATAGTATCCTTCCCTTTTCTTGAAACTGCTGCGTTGGAGAATGAAGTCTGCCCAGGCGGATGCGAGCACACACACACACACCATGTGTTTTCAGCAAAGCACATAGCTCTCCAAACTTCCTTTTCGCGCCTGGCATTGTATATTACATTTCTTCACCCTATAGCGCGTACAACTGCTTATTCTTCCAACTTATTCGGATCTCATATTTCCCTTTCTTTTCGAATGCTTTTTCTCAGTAAACTTTGAAATCATAATTTCCCCCTTGGACACAGTTGTCCCTTTTTTATTTTACTGACACGCTTACACATGTTAAACGACTTTAAAGTTTTCTTCTATTCAATCTTTGCTGCTTTCCTTGATTCTGTCGTTGTAATCTTTGCGGCTCCTTCCTGGTGTTGGAAAAGTCTGCTACTTCACTCTTCCTGTTTCCTTTCACAGCACTACTTTTTGTCTTGCAGTTGTTCTGTCCCAGTCTGTCCATCTCTTCCACGTTGCTTCCTCACTCTGGCTCTGTTCTGCAAATTCTGCTGCCTGACGTTTCCACTGTTTTCTCTCTCTTTCTCTGTGTGTGCAACTGCTGTTCTCCCCTCACTCAGTATTTCTCTGTGAAGATCACCTTCCTCCTGCACTTACAACTTCCACTCTTTCACTCTTCCCCCTTTTCTGCTCCTAGGGCCATTTGGGTCTCTGTGGAGGCGGCCGCGAAACCGTCACTTCCCTTTATACCAGCTCTCCTTTAACTCGGCGCGAGGGGTGCCCCGAAACCGTCGCCGCGCCCTAATTGCTTTTCATGCAGCCGGGCGCGGGCTGGCCGCCAGCCAATCAGAGGCTTGTTTACACAGTTTGATTGACAGGGATCTGGCGGGCCGCCAGCCAATGGGGGTCTTGTTTACACAGTTTGATTGACAAGAGCCCAGGATTGCTCGCTGTGCGTGCCTCATTGTACAGACAAGTTGTTGAAGCAAAGAAATCTTTTAGTGCTCGTGCTCAACTGCAACCTTTTCAGAAGTGTAGCATGTCACATAGCGTCCAGATAATTAAAAATTAGTCTTTCTTTTTTGCTTTTATTTCACAATAAGGCAGTGTATACTCGGAATTGCAGTAAGTACACATTTTTGCTACATATATACAAGAAAAGTCAAAATACAAACATGATAAAAATTAAAATATTTGTTATTTAAGTGTAACCTAATGTATTTCCGTCTTTGTTTGTTATTAAAGAAATGTAAGCAATAAACCGTTTTATTCCCCCCTCCCTCTTTTTGGCTGTAAAATACCAATTCCGTCTATGCGAAAATCCGCAGCTCTAGCTCCCAAGCGGGACGCTGTGTTAATGTGCCCGCTCTCTGTGTGCTCTCTCGCCCGGTTGGTTTCTTGAAGACAGTACGCTCTTGCAGATACCATTCATGTACTTTCACTCCATGCACCTTCTGAAATGTCTTCCTAATTTACAAAATATCTATCTATCTATGTATCTATCTATCTATTTATATATATATTTATATAACAATGTGAAATATTTATAACGGCCGCTGTGCCATTTGCTTTTATCAAGTCGTCATTGAGAGGGAGCGGTCTTAGCTGCTTACTGCACAGTAATGAGGCGAAATGTCCCATTCATGTTCAGTATTTGGAAAGAGGATATCATCTTAGAAAACCTTAAACGTACAAAAGCCGTAAGGATGAGTAATAACTTTCACCGCTGTGTTGTCGGCGAGAAAATAAACACCTGGATTTTAATTTGAAAGCACAGCAGTGTTAGACAATGAGACGGAGCACAGAAGGAAACAGTCGTCATATTGTGCTGAGAATTGATAGTTGGACTCCCCACATTAGAAAGACGGGCATTTTACTCCACCGGATTCCAACTATTTCCAAAACGTAAAACGTAGCCTGTCGATTAATTGCTACATCCTCGTGCACAATACTTTATATTGCAATCTGGATAAGAGCATGCGTTAGCTTCAACTGTAGGACGCATTGTAGTCTACATTATGTGGGTTTCTATATATTCGGCGGTTTTATAAATAAAGCTGACTTTTGCGATAAGGAAATTGATTGAGAAGTGGGGGTGTAGCAGGATGGGGGTGGGGTAGTGCCGTTATACTAGATTTCCTTCACATGAATGTCTCTGTTTAGTATTTAAACTATTTCTCACAGCTCTCTATGTAACTACGAGTGTCTTGTGGCAGTAGTAATTTCATCCTAAAATTGATGTCAGATGGAAAAGGGAGAAGAGGGAAGGGAGGGAGGAATGCTGAGAAATAGGGGAGAAGGATGAAAGACCGACGACGGGCGAGTGAATGAACGATAACCTCCCGCAGTAAATGGTTCGTGCATACCGGGTGAGCGCTCGCCTCAAAGTGGGGGTGTCAATATATCCCGGACATCGAACTGGACAGAATGGTAAAGAAAGGAGGGGGGGGAAAGCCGCACAAATTCTGTTGCACCAACCAATTCGTCTTAGAAACGAGGCCGTCTTTAATAAACATTTCATTGTTTAATCCTCTGAATGTCATGAGTAATTTATGTCCCCGGGTGCCGTGCGCTAAATGCAGCCTCTGTAAGTGCAGATATTTGTTTTAATTTTCTCTCATTGTGGAAGCTACTCAGTGTTAAGGTAAATCGGTGTGATTTATAAGGGAGAGTGGTTTTTTTTTAGGTATATCTATTATTAAAATAGTCTCGGGCGTTGGTTCTTCTGGTCCGTGGCTTTGAGTTTATCTTGAATCCCCTGTTCCCTGTCATTAACTGGAAATAGAGGGGGGTTTGAATGAACAAGATTGCTCGGAGTTTTCCGCTGGTGTTATTGTACTGGTTGCTGCAGTATGGCGGATGTTAGCTTCAAAGTTTCTCTGCCCCGGGTCTGAAATAAGACGTGCGACTGACCAAGTGCTTTCTCCCATTCTTTCTAGATAGAGGATGGCAAGCTTGGCTAGCTTTGCAAGCGGACACTCGGATGAGCTCGGATCAGCCTGAATCCCTCCCGGAGACCCGCCCGGCTTTGTGGATCTGTACACTGGGGGTGATCTCGGCTCCGTTATGGACGGCAGGGAATTCGCTCCTCCTCCCCACCTCCTGTCTCATGCGCTCGGCGTGGAGGCAGCTAGGGAGCGCGGCGCCCTGGCGCACCGAGCCGTCGGACGGATCGCCTCGACCGGCCACAGCACCGCACCGCACCCGGCTCACTTCCAACCTGCAAAATACTTTCCATCTCCGCTCCCCATGGCTACACATTCAGGTCAGTGAATCTTTACACAAGCTGCGTGTGTGGATGGAAATGCAAGCTGCTTAATCGCAATGAACAATTTTGAAAATACCCTTGAAAATGTACGCAAAGCATGGTCTTGTACAATCTTTTGTTAATATGCATTACTGTCGCAGGTAATTAGCACAGTTAGAAAGAGAATCGAGGTTTTTTACAACAAAAAAAATCTCAAATGGACGTGGCATAATGCTTAGTTTGAATAGTACTGCTTTATATCGCTAAACGTGCTGATGAGCACCTTACATGCTTTCGAGGAGTAGAGAGCACATCTTAGACTCCAATGCTGCTCTGCAGTACACGTTGAATACTGGGGTGTATTTTGATAGTGTACAGCAATGGGAAAATTCTGACCGTTGCGTTTCTGCACATTCTGCAGAAATATTAATCGTGCAAAGCGAAATTGAGCGGAGCCATTCAAAACGAAAGCCGGGGAGTTCGCCAATCACGTTTAGTGTGAAGCCGAGTGGCAGTGTGTCTGTCTGCGGGCTGTGTAATGGTCGAAATTCCGCCTTCTCAAATGGTTTGCGAAGTGTGATGGTGAAAATGGTTTCACTCGACATTCAGAGGCTTGGTCAAGTGTTTCTGGTATTCTGTTAAACAAATAGTGCACAGGCGTTAGAGCGAAAGGAAAGTATTCTGCCGCCTGGTTTAGAAAGGAGGCCGAATGTTCAGTTTGGTTTGGTGTACAAACGCACTCAGTGTTTCTGGAATAGACCTCATTCTGAGTATATGGTTTAATATACACGCTCATAGATTTGCCACATTACTGTGGAAGGCACAGGGTCCCACTGCTGTTTCAAAACCCCTTTCTCTAAACTCTACATTCAGATTCAAGCCTCACCGTCCTTCACAAATGTTGCTTCTCGACAGTCCCCTGTAGTAACAGCAATAACAACAATATCGAGCTTGTCAGTTCTTGGGTTTTTTTTGTCAGAGCAGATGTTTTGAATGTCGGTGTTTCTGATTTTTTTTCAGCGATGGTTTCTAAGTCTATAGTTTAGATCAAATTTCATCTTAAAACGAGAGAAGCGCGCGCACACACACTTATACACACACATACGCGTTCCTCGTGGTGCATCGCCGGAGCCGGCCGATATTTCGGTGGGGGTGTTAAAAACATCCAACATCACTTCGGTCGAGAATGCTTAGTGAAATCCTGCCCCAACACACACACACCTCTCTCTCCAGCACCCCCCAACCCACTTCAGAACTGCACGCCTCTGCGTGCATTGACAAGTTTGGCAGATAAATAACACGTTTGGTGGGTTTTCGAAGTGCAAAATACGAGGGCGCGATTCTTCACGTGTTACACGGGAAGATGCTTAAATTGCCATTCTTGAGGTACTGTCTAAAACCCCGGTCACCGTCTGCACTGCGAGGCATTCAACAAAATGAGGATTTTCTGCAAACCACATGGGTTTAAAAAAATACATTTCAACACGATATATATTAAACCAAATAATTCTGGATCCCGTGCTAGTTTTGCTTGGAGGCAAATGGTGAGCAGGTATTGCATTAGTCAGATGAAAAGGAAGGTTATTACTTATCAATGTTTGGATTGATACGTCAGTGTTAAACAATATTTAATACCGTATAGGTGAATGCAAGTTATAGCTAATGCGGCGATAAATTTGTCAACGGAAATGATCAAATTTGTGGATTAAAATCCTAATTGCGCATAAACAATTTACATCAGGGTATTTGACCAGCAAGATGACAAGTTTGTGAGGACCGTGTTTGAGAATGCTGTCACGCATTTTGAATAGACATAGTCCTGTAATGTGTTTTTTTTAACGTTTCGCTTCATGCACTTGGCACCGAGTCAAGACGTTTTATTAATCTGACTACAATATAAACCAATCGAAGCAGGCAGCCTTTACATTTTTGCTGAAGTGACCCAGCGCTCGCCATTGATTAAAGTCAAACAGCTTTGTCCTTTTTGGCCAATGTACGCTCCGTAAACACGAGAAGCCAGTGGTACACGAAAAATTTTAAGAGTTATGAATCTGTAGACATCCCTTTGTTCAGGCTTTTAACTAGTAATTGACCCTTGTATTGATAAACAATAATGACATTACAGCAAATAAAGCGTTTAGAGTAAATACATTCTTCCGTTTTAACAAAGCGTAATTGTATAAAAATTAGGCAAATTCATTTGAATTATATGTAAAAATCCTTCGTTTCATATTACCTCAAAATAGTTTACAATGTATATGTCCAAACGTGACTTAATACGAGTGAACGTAATGTCTTCACAGCTTTAAAACTTCAGGCAGTTAAAGTATGACAGTGAACACTGTCTTGAGAAAACGATATTCCTATAGTCCAAATGCTCAGGGAGCTTAATTTGATTAATGTTGATGGTAGTTTCCTCATTTAAATGCTTCACTAAAGGTTATTAAGTACAGTACTACGGACGCAGAATATCCAAGAATTTGATCCTGGCTTGTAGCCCACAGGCTCATG